GTTCTTCCTGGGAGGGGGTAGGTGGTGTATGAAAAACAGGATAATTACCTAGTTGATTTGTGTGGAATTTTATTTTTATTTTATTTATTTATTTGTATATTTTTTTGGGATGGAGTCTTGCTCTGTTGCCCAGGTTGGAGTGCAGCGGCGTGATCTCGGCTCACTGCAACCTCCGCCTTCTGGGTTCAAGCAAGTCACCTGCCTCAGCCTCCTGAGTAGCTGGGACTACAAGCACCCGCCACCACGCCCAGCTAATTTTTGTATTTTTAGTAGAGACGAGGTTTCACCATGTTGGCCAGGCTGGTCTTGAACTCATGACCTCAAGTGATCTACCTGCCTCAGCCTCCCGAAGCGCTAGGATTACAGGCATGAGCCACCGTGCCCGGCTTATATGGCATTTTAACATTTACAAAGCACTTGTAAATCCGTGACCCCCTGAATTTTTTCATGGTGAAGACTACAGCTTTGGGGTCTGATCAGCCTGTGATGCGTTCCTAGTTCCAACACTTACTGTGTAAGCAAGCAACACTTACTAATTGTCTGAGCCTCAGGTATTCATCTGTAACATGGAGATAATGATTTTGTTTGACTTTCGGGTTTTTTCTTTCCTTGGAATTGGAGTCTTGTTATGTTGACCAGGCTGGTCTTGAATTCCTGGGCTCAAGCAATCCTTCTGCTTTAGCCTCCCAAAGTAGCTGAGACCACGCCGGCACAATGGGGATAATTCTCTCCAAAGAGTAGTTTGGAGTATTAAGTGTGACAATGCATGTTAAATACTTTTTTTTTAATGTATTTCTTTTTTTCTGAGACAGATTCTCGCTCTGTCGCCCAGGCTGGAGTGCAGTGGCGCAATCTCGGCTCACTGCAAGCTCTGCCTCCCGGGTTCATGCCATTCTCCTGCCTCAGCCTCCCAAGTAGCTGGGACTACAGGCACCCACCACTATGCCCGGCTAATTTTTTGTATTTTTAGTAGTGACAGACTTTCACTGTGTTAGCCAGGATGGTCTCGATCTCCTGACCTCGTGATCCACCCACCCGCCTCGGCCGCCCAAAGTGCTGGGATTACAGGCGTGAGCCCCCACACCCAGCCCGCATGTTAAATACTTTAAATAGCCTGCTACAAGGTAGGCAAGCACTCAAGAAATCTTAGCCGGTGTTATTCATGCCGTTTGCAACTCCTTCCTCACCATTGTGCTGATGAGGCCCATGGTATTAGATCTTCCATTCCTGAGATGAGAAAAATGTGATTCTGAGGCAGCTGTGGTCCCTCCTGGGGTGGCTTGGCTGGTGGGTGAGAGGCCAGTGTTTTAAACCAACCCAGGCTCCAGCTTGGGGGCCCTGACCCCACGGCAGTTGAATATTCAGTAGGTCCATGCTGTTCTATATTCAAAGACCTTTGTTCGTGGTTAATAATAGCTCTTTGTTTCTGCTAGCGGGAGGGTAGCCTCCATGCAGGGCTTAGACCCTTTTCCTTCTCAGGGTCCACACTCGCCCTACCCTCATATTGGCTCGAGGGAGCCACTGCCACTAATGGAAGTGTGTCATATCCTCAGGGTGTGCTAGGCAGGGAGGTAGAAGGGTGGGTGAGGCTCGCAGACTTGCGCGTGGAGATTGGCAGGGCCCCAGCCACGTGTCCGTGTGTCATCTACAGTGGGACAGCTGCTCCATTGTGTCTGAACTTGCCCATCCGAGAAAGGCAAAGATTATAGTGTCAGAGCCAGGCCTTGACCGGTCCCCACTGGGCCCTGCCCCTGCCCATCCTCATCCAGTTGGTGCCTTTATGGAGCTCTGTGTGTGCCAAGCACTGCCTGGGACCGTCTACCCATGTGATCCTCTTTAATGTTCATAAACAGGCTGTGTAGCAAGTCCTGACCTCAGCCTTGCAGCCTCCAGGGTGACCTTTTTGTTTTTTGAGACGGAGTTTCGCTCTTGTTGCCCAGGCTGGAGTGCAATGGCATGATCTCAGCGCACTGCAACCTCCGCCTCCTGGGTTCAAG